CTGCAGGGAGAACAATAGATGCAGACAAACATCTGAATGTCTTGCTCATAAGATAGACAACATTCTGGCTGCAGATTTCTGTTTGAGAAGAGGCTTGATTTTACATTTATTTTGTATGTTTTATGACAGTGTAAAGAACACTACTGCTCCCTTTACAACCTTCCACCCTTCAGAGACTCACAACTGCCACAGCCTTCGGAGGATGTGTGGATACAAATGAGAAACGAGATGGACTAACCGGGATAGGCCTGGTTTAGGGACTTTTGCTTCACTGCTTTCTACCCAGATGAACTTTCAAGCAGGACATGATGGTTCATGCTTGTAATCTCAGCTTTTGGGAGGCTGAGGCAGGAGGATTGCCATGAATTTGAGGTCACATAGTGAGGCCCTGTTTCAAACAAACAAGATGAACTCTCTGACTTCAGGAATTTTTCTTTTGTCATATAAGCTCGGAGTTTCAATTAAGAACTTTTTTTTTTTTGGAATGCTACATTACCAACGCATATAAACAAGAAGCATTGAGTTTCTGCTTGCCCTTCACCAGAGTCTTTTGATCATTACTTTTGAGCAAGCCACTTCTTAAGATTGGGTTGTCCCTGAATTTGCTTGTATTATAACCTTGAAAATGTAGCAATAAAAAAAATTTGTGCTTCCCAAAAAAAAAAAAAAAAAAAAAAAAAGAATGTGTTGGAATGGAGAACATGTGGACCACCCCTGTGAGTAACTAAAGTCTTATTTTGATTTGGGGCCCTTGTTCTAAAACATTTTTTGTACTTTATTATGTATTAAATATGATAAGTTCTCAAATAGGATTTGAGATGCTGTGATGACTGGTAATGAACAGTATCAAGTATACCAACTAAAGATAGAATAAGTGAGGGATTTACATAACTTGGTCTTGGGTTTTTTTTTGTTTTGTTTTTTTTTTTTTTTTTTTTTTTTTTTTGGTTTTTCGAGACAGGGTTTCTCTGTGTAGCTTTGCGCCTTTCCTGGAACTCGCTTTGGAGACCAGGCTGGCCTCGAACTCACAGAGATCCGCCTGGCTCTGCCTCCCAAGTGCTGGGATTAAAGGCGTGCGCCACCACCGCCCGGCCGGTCTTGGGTTTTTGAATCATGTATTTCACTAGAATCAATGAACAAATAAATTGTTCAATGAAAATGCAGAAGTGAATCAGGAAAGGGAATTTCATGAATGGATTGATGATGACTACTGGTTCAGTATGACTTACAACAATGAGGTCCATGTACAAGAGACCCTAAGCTATAGTCTGTGCTTCAGGTGGTGGGTTATCTCAGTGCTGATTTTGCCTTCTCTCCTTTGTACTTCCCAGGATGGACCCTTGTACTGTTCTGAGAAGCCACAAGCTTCACAGTGCTCCCTATGTGTATAAAGAGTGGGACCAATGGGAGTAAGAGAGACAATGATGTGTTTGGGTGGTCTGTTTAAGACATCCAGTGACTGCTATTTGATAAGTAGCAACTGTAATCAAAGAAGGCCCATGATGGCCAATGAAACTATAGATTGCCCTGAAACATTGTATTGATGAATTGACGAGTTGATTAGTTTTATTATGAGAGTAGCTGATAAAAGAGATGCATTCAATGACGTAAGTGAATCTGTAAGCTATTTTAGGGAGAAGTATCAATTTTTCCCTGCCATGAGAGTTATGTTTCATAGATACTTAATGGTATTAGAGAAGTGAAAGATCAATTAATAAACAAGTGTAGATTTTTATATGAAAAAGACACCTCAATGTCTTGGTCCAATTATTATAATTAAGGTCATGCAGGATGTATTTCCATGTATGTCTGGAGACTGTAGGGTTTTCAGAAACAGGAGGTGTGGTCCACTTCCTGGGATCATTTGCAAATGATCCAATGGGCTGATGTTAATGATATATAAAAATCTGATTCTTTTAGTTTGGGTGGAGTGGTGCAATTTTCTAATTTATTGATACATCTTAATAGAAGTACAATCCAGCCGGGCGGTGGTGGCGCCCGCCTTTAATCCCAGCACTTGGGAGGCAGAGGCAGGTGGATCTCTGTAAGTTCAAGGCCAGCCTGGTCTACAGAGCGAGTTCCAGGACAGACCTGTAACACAGAGAAACCCTGTCTCGAACCCCCCTCCCCCCAAAAAAGAATGTACAATCTAAACACAAATGGCCCAAAGTCATGAATAGAATCAAGTCTTAACTCAGCTATTAAATCATTGTATTTCCATACCATTTTATAGCATATTACAAAAACAGAAAACAAAAACATAAAACCAAAAACAACCCTTTTCTATTACCTTTATTGGAAATGAGTCACTTGTCAGACACCAGGAGCACTCAGTACACTTGTTGCAGGCCTTTGCCAGCGTGTCCCTGAGTGCTAACGTGTCATAAGTAAATCAATAAACACAAGTGCTGTGAATGAGGATAGATGAGTCTGCTAAAGCACAGCCTCGTTGTGAGCTTGTTTACTGGAACAGAGTTTGTTCTTTCGTGTCTCTACCGCTGCCGCCTGTAGATAAAAATAGACTCAGCCCGTGACCCACGTCAGCAGCCAGCTTATACACAGATGTGCGAGTACTCAGTGTCTCTGTCGAAGCTACTTACGATTTTATATGTTTTTGACCTTTATAAAATTAGAAAAAGTTATGTAAATATCCAAATTAAAAAACATTTAAAGAAAGGAAAGTGAGCTAGCTGTGTACCAAGTGTATGTTTAATACCATGGATTATGAATTAGTCATTGTGCTACACCAGAGCCCTGTTTACAAAGAGATCAAGGTTTTCTCATTCATTTTCATAGCTTTACATTGTTCCATCTTAGATTTCCCCATTATTTCATTTATTCCACATTTCTGCATTAAGAGATTTGTGGCTCAGATAATTGAAGTTTATAATAGATTCATGCTAAGCACAGTATGATGCACAGAGACAGGTGTCTAAAATAAATTAAACAGTGATGGTGCATCGTCAATGGGATGATTATGTTGTGCTCTTTACCATATACCCAATATCCCTGGGAGCAATATGATAGAATTGTCCCAGTTCTAGGATTGCAGAAACCAGTGCAAGAAGCCACAGGTGTCTGCCTTCATCTGAGGGGTTTGCTTAAGGGTGTCCACTAAGTTGTTAGTGAAATCATCAGTGCAATCAGGAATATGTCATGGCTAATGTCCTTATCCTGGGTCAGTTGTGAGTTTCAAGCTGACTGTTTTATTATGAAAAAGAAAACATTAAATAATTATTCATAGGAGAAAACCATGATATAATGGAGAGGATATTATTTTACAACATTTTAAAACTTTTTTTATATTGTGCACAATGAATGGATGAGGCCAAGAGAACAGCCAATGCTTCTCCTTCATTGGAATTTTCACATGCACTTGCTGCATGTGTTAAAAAAAAGTGCAAGCAGGGACTGAAGAGATGGCTCAGGGGTTCAAAGAACTGACTGCTCTTCCAAAGGACCTGAGTTCAATTCCCAGCAACTACATGGCAGCTCACACCTGTCTGTTAATCCAGTTTCAGGGGACCCTAACACCCATGGCCAAAACACCAATGCACATAAAAATAAAATAAAATATATATATAAAAGAGTGAAAATATATGCAAGTGACTATTCATATAACCAATGTACAAAAAACCAAACCTGTTTAAAGAACTGAGAGCCGACACTTACGATACATTTAAATATTAGCAAAAATTTCAAAAAGATCAAATCTAACTCACTAATTCTTTTAAGTTTCTTTCAAATAATATTTTTTACTTATTCTTTGAAAATTTCATATACCTATATAATGTATCTTGGTCCTATCTGCTTCCAAACTCTCCAAACACATCTCTTACAATTTTCATGCCTTTAAATATTTTTAAATTATTATTATTTTTAACTTATGGAGTCAATAGTACTTCCCAGATGCACCTACCTTGGTGTGGGGTCATCCACTGGAGTGTGAGCAACCTGCTGGTGGCCAACTTACCCCCCAAAAGTAATTTTCTATCCCCAACTTCTTATTAGCGTACAGTAATTGTACATAGTAGTGGGCTCCATTACAACATTTTCCTATATGTATCTGATGTACTTTGATCACATTCATGACCCAATTAGCATCTGTTATCCCACTGATCCCTTCTTTTTCCTCTTTGACCCTTTTTACTTTCTTATCTTGAGTGTGTGTGTGTGTGTGTGTGTGTGTGTGTGTGTGTTTGTCTCTCTGTGTGTGTGCATGATGTAAAAAATTGATACATCCTCTAAATATTCCTTAAAAGTTAAATGTGTATGGTACTTTTATTGTGAAGCAGGAGTACAGAGATATACATGCTGCTCCATGTCAGAGAGCTGATGGTAGTTCATGCCGTAAATTGGAAGAACAAACAGATTATACAGAGAAGAGCAAGGGAGGATATGGAGCGCATTGCCTCCCAACTGTTTTTATGACCAAAGTGTCCATGACCTTCTGAGGTCTGTTGCACGCAGGGATTTGCATGTTTGTCTCTGCAGGGATGAGCACACGGATTTTAGTAATATTCAAGGATCATCCTCTCAGGTTTTTTTTTTTTTTGCATCATAGATTTGATTTTGTTATTAAAAATCAGCAAATGAAAGAATAAACGTGACAGTGTACAAAGCGAGAGAATGGTCTATGCAAGCATGAAAGCATGTGGTGAGGCAAGATCATTATTAATGTATCTTAGGCCCCTTGAAGCTCACGAAGCATGAAGTGGACTGAGAAAGGCTGCCTTTTGGGGTATGGGTAAGTGGGTTGAATAATGACATGGGATAGGCAGGGTTCTTACTTTGGGTCATGATGAGTTCAAGTATTTATATGCTTAAGAAAAACAACGACAAAAAACCAAAAAAAACAAGGTAATAAATACTAAAATGACTAAGAAAATCTCTGTGAGTTCGAGGCCAGCCTGGGCTACCAAGTGAGCTCCAGGAAAAAGGCGCAAAGCTACACAGAGAAACCCTGTCTCAAAAAAAAAAAAAAAAAAAAAAAGAAAGAAAAAGAAAAAGAAAATGGAATTTGAAAGTCATGCATTAATGTTATGACTCTGTCAATGGTGGGTTTTTTTAATCATTGTTGTTGTTGTTTTGAGAGAAGGTCTCACTGTGTAGCCCTGGAACATGGCGTGTAGACCAGACTGGCCTGGACCTCACAGAGATCTACTTAGCTCTGCCTCCTGGGTGCTGGGATTATATGCCACTACATTTGACATTTCTCAATATTTGATTAGCAGCATTGCATGTGTGCTTCCGAATAAATGCAATGAGCTGACTAAAGCATGGTTATGGAATCCAGGTGCCAAGAACAGAGATGCGAATCAGTGATAGGGCCTTTCCTTCGGTATTAGTGGCTTTCTTATTAAAAACATTCACCGAATTGTTTAAGAAATGCATTTATGTTGTCAAGAAATTCAGCCAGATGCTGCTAAGGGATCAATACAGTATCAGTTCTTAAGTGGATATTTACACTGAGATTGGTTCCCGAAAGATATGCTTGAGTGTGAGATGTCTCTATATCGACAGTTCTTATAGACACAGCAGTAAATTGATTATATTGGAAGGCAGGTATTTATTACTGTTAATTAATTGGAAAATTAACAGATAAATGTAGTAAGGAGAGAAGAGTTGAAATTCTCACCCAAGAAGATGACCACAAGTACTTATCATGGGTGATGAATAATTCATCTCCGAAATTCTGGGTTAGTTCAGAGACAGAAATCTGTTGTATTAGCTTTTCTGGGACTATTCCCATGGAGACATCAGCTATCCCAAAAGGTCATATTCTTTGGAGTTTTGTGCTTCATGAATTTTGATTGTTATTACCAAAAATAAAAAAATCAATGGCCAAATTTACACTTTAATTACATAAAGAAACATGAAGAAATTTGCTCAATTTTTAAAGATATGAAAGGAGGCAATCAATATTATTAACACAATTTGTAAATACTGCAGTTCCCAAGTCAGTGGTTCTGGGGAGCTGTCTCCATGCCCAAGATTGGACAGATGGGCAGAAATTGTAACTGGTCCTCTTGCTCTGAGCCAATGATTTGGACCATGGTGCTTGTTGTTGTTATTGTTGTTAGGAGAAGAAATACTATGACTCTATATATTCGGGTTTTTTTCCCTGTTATGGCTGTTTTAAAACTCAGGTTGTTTTAGTTAAGAGAAAATATATAGGTTGTGAAGCATAAATACACAAGTGTGAGGTGCAGGATGAAATAGACATGAAAATCTTCTTAGTGCTCTGCTTGGTACACCCAGCATGTCTTGCACTGCTAGTGCCTTATGCCTTCTCCTCCAGTCCCAGGCTCAGGCTGCCGCCATGCTCTGGCACAAGTGTGGAGGTCGGTGAGTGTAGTCAATGTTCTTGGTTTAGTTCAGGGGCCTTGTCTCTGGACCTTCACTCTAGGGCTGCACGGTGTCCAAGAGACCCAAGAACTATCAACTGTAGTTAAATGCTATTAGGGATTATTAGATACACAGAGAGGTAGAAACCAAATGACTGATGTGATAGAAAATTTCATGTGAGATGAGTCTAGATACAGGATGAGAATATCTCAGCTGTTCTTAGATTTGTGACTAGACCATCCGAGGTTAATATTAGGAAGTTAGTGACTCAAAAATGAACCCAAACAATATAGAAGCAGCTAGAAAACAGAAAGTACTAGTCCTGGATCCATGATGACCAATGGTGTCATATAAATCATACATAATGCACACATGTCAGAAACAGGTCTACATGGAAAAAACTAGTCCATTTCTTCTGTTTTAAAGTGCTTCTGTAGTCAGGCTTATGTAACAGATTTTTTTATGGTTACATATTTTTATTCTATTTTCACTATGGGATTAATGTGAAAAATCAATTCGATAAAATAGATGAAACAACATCCATTCCACAATGCTAATGGGAAGTATATTAATATATATTGAAAATGGGGTAGTCCAAGGGGAAATTAATGGAATGTGCATTTGACCACGTGGCTAATGATGGTCTATATGTCACACAAGTAGTTAGTATTCTCTACCAGTCTCAAGTTTAGAATTGTTCATTTTATTAGAAATGAGAGATATATACTCCATATGATACTAAGGGAAAGCCAAGAAGAAAGGATACATGGTAGGGAGGTCTCAGGTTCATTATCTCTTCTTTGCTCCATACTCAAGAATGACCATACTGTGTGAGTGGAGGGTCATCCAAGGTCAGGAGTGCTGCATTCTGATGAGAATAAGAGTGACACCAATGTGAACTAAAGGCTTCTTGTCTTGCTTTGTGTGGTTTGAGATACCATTTAACAAGTATTTACAGGGTAGTTAATGATGGCCAACTGAATATCAATGGCACAAATAAGGACTGCATAAAAATTTTTATTCATAATGAAAATGTGGAAAGTGTTGTGGATTAATGTAATGAATATGTTAATGTTAGAGAGAATCCATGTATAGATTAGTAATGATAGCACCCATTGGAAGTGGTTGTATATCATAGGGTTTGTAATTATATTAACTGATCAAATAAAAAGTAGAAATTAGTATAGAAAAGAAGATTTAATCCTGGATCACTGATGATGTATAGTGCCATATGAGTCACACACAATGGACTCTGGGTCCAGCTTCTTTCCCAATTTTCTATGTTTGGAATAATTCTGTCAGTAAAATGGAATGTATTTTTTTTTTCAGTTTACATGTTCATTTATTTCCATCCTATTAGTTTGAAAGCATTGTTGTCTGGATGGAAATAACTTTTATACTTTTGTGTGCTCTTTGGCTAGAGATGAGGTAGACAGTATAATTAATAGATAATAGTCAACATTTGGGTCAAGGAAAGTAGCATAAAGAGCCTCCAAATAATGACTTCCTAAATAGCCAACTGAGGGGAGAATGATAAGCAGAACTAAAATAGATTAGCCCATCTTTTTAATGAGCTGTTTTGCTTTGATGTCCTGGGCCTGGATGCTCTGAGCCAGGGGACACATCTTGCCATGGGCTTGAGCTCCATGGTTACATGCATGTGTCAAAAGCACGAAATGGTGCATAATAATATGCTGTGACTGCTTTGACTTTTAAAAAGAATGAAAGTTAACCAGAGAAGCTAAAATATGCCTACGGTAAACATTAGACTGGAAGTCTATATTGCACTGAATTCTTTGTGTATGAACCACCTAGCTTAGTTTACACAATACATCTGAACTCTCTGGAAGCAATGATAAAGAAACATCTTAGTGACTGTTCAAGGGTCTACTTTTTATTACTTTTATTTTTTATCTATGAATGAATCAACAAACTAATGTGAAATAGAGAAAGAGGATCAATTTGATTGTTACCTAAAGTCAACTTCCTATATCTACCACACCAAAGCCATCTAACAGTGACTCAGCATCCACTGATTCTCCTTTACTACCTCTGCCTCTCTACAACCTCCCCTGTCTCTGCTAACTACCATTCAACTCCCAGCTTCCCTGAGGTCAGTTTTCAACATGAATGAGTTCATGTACTTCTTGTCCTTCTGTGCCTGAATTATTTCTCTTTACATTAATATCTGTGGCTTGATCCACAATGTCAATTTTTTTAATAAAAATTAATTTGTGTCCAAATAGAATCTAACAAGGGCTTAAGAGCCTAGTTACTTGACCATGCTCCAGTGTTGGATTCACACATATTTGGGTCACACTAATTTTAGACTCCATATGTTATCTGAGAAAAAAGTTGAGAGAGACACAGGGGTCATCCCAGAGGGAGTGCATTGTTGGATATGAAGAAAATACATTATATACATATATGAAATTCTCGTAGATTTTATATATATATATATATATATATATATATATATATATAAACTTGAAAACTCATAATAATACAGAAAACTGAAAAGAAAAAACTCATCAGAAAGACAACAAATAATTGAATTTAAAATGGTAATTGTACTTTGGTCTCCTTTGAAAGAGAGCAAGGTCAGATGTGCCAAGTATCGTATTCTGAGCTTATGAATCATGTTTGTTGATTTACTTTAATTAATAGCTTAGAATAAAAATAGAAATGCTATAATTAAAAAGGCAAATAAGAACCAGTGTTGGTGGCTGTTGTCAAATGAGCCTTGTAGGGTGAATAAAATATGCCTGGACTCTGGAGTCAAATGCAAAAGAAATATTGTTCATTGTCTCATTAGAAGGTGTCTTCAAGACAGACTTGGCAATATCCAAGGCTCTTGGTCCTGGCCTTTGTGTCAAAATTAGATGAATGAGAACATCAATCACTCAATTAATGAAATACTGTCTAACTATAAAAATACATGTCTTGGCACATTATAATGTGTTAAGAAAACAGTAAGATCCTGATTTAGATGTCTGACTCCCTTACTTGCCCTTCTTTGGCTAAAGATAGTTCAGACTCTATATGGTAAAGCCAGTGTTCTCAGTATATGGAAAGTTTAAAATTCTTTCATTAAAAGAAATAAAAACAAAAATGAAACCTTACACTGTTAAATTAATGAGTGTATAAATGACTCCAAAGCACTTGTTCTCAACCTGTGGGTTGCAACTTTTTCACAAGGGTTACATATCAGATATCCTGTATATCAGATATTTACATTACGATTCCTGACAGTAGCAAAATCACAGTTATGAAGCAGCAATGAACATAATTTTATGGTTGGGGTTCACCACAACATGAGGAACTGTATTAAAGTGTTGCAGCATCAGGAAGGTTGAGAATAACCACTCTAAACCATAGATAAAGTTAAGGGCCAATGGGGAGAGTGCCCAATTCGGTTGTCTTAAATTTTTTTAACCATGTGTTCTTTTTCCCTGCTCTTCCCCATGGTCCCGTGTGAGCTGATGAGATTCTCCGTGGTAAAGTTCTCCATGGTCCATCTCTGTCAGAAACCTGGAGGATGATGTAAGTAATATTTAATAATTAAGTTGCCTGATAATCCAACCAACTGGTAGCTGTTGTATTTGTGTCAAAGGGACACCTGTTCTCACACTCACTGCAGTGCTGTCTACAGGGGCCGAAGTGGGACAGACTTGAGTAGCCATTAGCTGACAAATGGATAAAGAATGTGATAGATGTCATGGGACACTGCTCATCCAAATAAAAGTTAACTGTACCCTAACAAGAGATTGATGTCAGTTGTCATTCCTGATTGATCACCTCCACACTGAGGCCAATTAACAAAAGATAAAGTCTCAAATGGATAGGATTCTACAGACAGATGTTAACCTGTCAAGCATCATGTTTATTTTTGTGAATCAGGCTATTTTATTGATTTACTTTGATTAGTGACTTAGAATAAAGTAAATTCAAATAAAAAGTAGGAGGTTAAAACATGAACCAATGTTGATAGCAGGTATTGAGAGTGGGCCTTACACACTACATGAAACATCTGGACTCTAATAGCCAATAAAAATGTAAGATAGTTCATTTTCTTGGTAGAAGATATCCTCCAGACTGGTGGTTTGCACACTGTGGGTCATGAATCCTTTGGGGATTGAATAACCCATCACAGGGATCACATGCCTGTGAGATGCCTTAGCACAGTAGTTCTCAACTTGTGGGTCACAGCCTCCTATGGGAACACCAATCAGATATCCTGCATGTCAGATATTTACATTACGATTCATAACAATAGCAAAATTACAGTTCTGAAGTAGTAATGAAAGTAATTTTATAAGTGGGGGTCACCACAACATGAAGAACTGAATTAAAAGATTGTAGCATTAGGAAGGTTGAGAACCACTGCTCTAAACGTATTTAAAAATATCTAAGGACCCAGAGGCTGGTACCTGTGTTTATATTTGTTGATTATGCGATTAAAATTAAGCAGTGAAACTATTATTCAATCAATTACTTATGTATTAATCAAATGTAAACATGAAGTATGTCAGGAGCACTTTGATATGTTGTTATAAAAACAGTAAAGCACAGTGGGAAATAAATATAACTCCTATACTACCATCCTCAGCTAACATAGACATTAGATGTTCAAGCCTTGTTTATCATCTAGATATGGGGCTATTTTAAAGTTCTTTTTAAATTAAATTGTTTCTATATATTTTGTTAAGGTAAAAGCATGCTTTATTAAATTAATGAGTGAATAAGTCAATTCAGAAAGCAAAGCTAAAAACCAAAGGTCTATAAAAAGAATGTCCCAGCTTTTCACTTTCTTTATGTTTATCTGCTCTGCTCTGTGTTCTTCCCAATGGAATCATCTGAGCTGGGGCTGGAATTCTCCATGGCTGGTGCTCAGCAGTGCATTTCTCACCAGAATCTGGAAATCCAAGTGAGTAATAGGTATAAACCTTGTTTTGTTGTTCCTGGACAGTTTACTCTCTGCTTCAAAAATACGCAGTGATAGAAGTCTAGTGCACTCCATTTGGGACACTGATGAATATTTTAACTGAGTAACTGATATAATGAAAAGTTGACCTTAGATAACAAAAGGCTGTGGGTATTACATCCCAAATAGCATATTCTTCATATATATATATATATATATATATCATTGACTTCAAGAAACATGTGGGTTTCGCTGGTGGGTTAATGGATTACTAACCAACACTGTAGATAAGAAAGAAGAGCGATTAGCCTGTCCCTGGATCAGTGATCATAACTGCCAGTATATGATGATGAATGACATGTGTCTGAAACTCCGAGGTCCAACATAAATGATAAATGCAGAAGCAAGGGTCTGTGGAGAGAGAGTCATTTTTTTATCCCTTGTTCTGTTCTCTTTTCCCCAGAATTGCTTCTCCTGGGGAGATTTCTGCATATTCCACAGTTACCCAGTCATTAGTCGTATCTCTAGGTTAGATCTTGGGACATGTGTAAGTAGTAGACAAGACAAGTGACTTAGTGATTCAATCAATAAACAAAGTAGAAGTGATAGAAAAAAACAGGTCCAATCCTGGATTGATGATGAACATGGGTGGCATATGAGCCCTTGTCAATGAATATGTGTCTGTAACACTGAGGTCTTATCTGAAGAGACATATATTCTCCATGTTCATATACTCATGCTATTATTGTAACTGGGCCAGTGAACAATTCAAGGAAATATATAATCTATCAAGATAAAGCCAAGATGATGGGTGAAGCATCGTCCAATTGTAAAATACATGATGATATAAGAATGTAGTGATGTACACTGGACACACTGACCTGGTTGGAGAAGTACGTGGGTCTTCACTGTGAGCTTTTGTTTAAGAGTCATGTACTCATTTCAACTGTAGACCACAACTATGTTCTGAGGGAAGGTCACATTTGTTCATTTTCTGAAGAAATGGAATTAATTTTTTAATAATGATTGATAACCGGGCGGTGGTGGCGCATGCCTTTAATCCCAGCACTCGGGAGGCAGAGCCAGGTGGATCTCTGTGAGTTCGAGGCCAGCCTGGGCTACCAAGTGAGTTCCAGGAAAGGCGCAAAGCTACACAGAGAAACCCTGTCTCGAAAAACCAAAAAAAAAAAAAAAAAAAGATTGATAAATGAATGACCATGTGAAGGATGATACGGACTGTTCCACTATCTCAGCTGTGTTATGTTTTACCCCACGCTTCACAGAGAGGATGCTCTTGGGAAGACTACATGTGGATGTTCTCCTGAAGAGTGGCATATTCTTCCATGGTGAGTGGCTTGTGGCTTGCTTCTCTGTGCTAGAATGTGGGACAAATGTAACAGCCAATGTTGTCTTTGTCAGGGTCTCTTTGAAAAATGGCATTTTATTTATTTTTTTTACCTATTTCCTACCATCAAAGGTGCCAACCTTGCCAATTTTAATATCAATTTGACAGAAACTTGGTAGTAATTTTTCCATGCATATGGCACCGAGGACAGTCATGGAGTAACTTACTTTTTCTAATGGAAAAATTCAGAGGTGTGTGTTATTCGTCCTTATGGATATTAATGTTATGCTTTGTTATTCATGTATATTTCTTCATGACCTAGTTTGTATTACTGTCAGGTGATGGCCAGTCAAAACCAAGGTTGACAACTGTTGCATGTGAGCCCTTTGCAATCAATACTCATTAGTATTAAATATTAAAATATACAATATAAAATATTAAATATATTAAAATATACAATAAGGAAAATGAATATTCATATAAATTGAAATAAACAATAAATTAACCCATTGTTTCATCCACTTTGAATAACCCAAACAACAGTTGATCATTGCTCTTGACCTATGACAAGACTGAAGTATATACTGTGAAGAGAAATATAAATAAATATCTCAAAAACTAAAAGACATAGTAGTGATATAAGGGAAAGGCTGGATATATGGACCAGGGGAATGGATGTCTCACTAATTGCCTTTATGGTCTTACATGAGTTCTGCTTTGATGGAGACTTGGCAGCAGAGACCTGAGAAAAATAGCTGCAGAGTTCTCTTTCTCCTTTAGGTGCTGGACTGAAACGTGAAGTTTGTTAAACTTCATGTATCTTATTAACAGACATGATGTGGAATATGGCTACTTTTCGGTCTTGAGCCTCACACAAGTCACTTACCAAAGAGTCACAGATTCAAATGAAAAATGATTGGACAGAAAATGATAAACTCTTAAGGGCTTGTGTTTTTATGTTTTTGTGATCCATGTTTTTCTATTTTCTTATAAGTAAGTGGCATTGCAAGGTCAATGTTCATATTGAGAGGTCACAGGGTCACCTTTTGGTTTGTTCTACCTCACTCAATATGACAGGTTAGATGTGCCATGACTTTGATGCCCAACACAAAACAAACACAATCTGATTTTTCTGTAATAATCACCCACTAGTCACACTTTGGAGTGCTGATATTTTCCTTGGGTTCAATATAATTAGATTTAGGGTGTTTTTTTTTTTTTACCATAAGTGAAAAATTGTTCAATTACAAAAATACCTAATGAGATTGTCAACACTGTACTAGATTATGAGCAGACTGGTGATTATAGTTCCTATAGACCTATAGTATCATATTTGGAGAAGTGATAAGCACATACATAAGTCAATCACCTTGATTTGATCAAATTTATGCAGTAAATAACAAACTAATCTACAGTAATGTGTATGTTTCTTACATGTTGGCCACAAATTTAAAGAAAAGCATTGGGCAAACAAAACAATTTTCTACACTGATGTTATTATTATGTACCATATACATGTGTTTAATTTGCATTCTACAACCTATAAATTGATGGTTAAATAGTAATTAATACAAAACTCAAAATTTTTATGTTTATCTAGTATAAAACAGTCAGATAAATAGAAATAAGTAAAGGGGACTGATAAATGACAAATGTCAGCACCTGAGTGTCAGATGATAGGACCAGATGTCTGGAACTTGGAAGTCCAACCCAAAGTTAAGTGGATAATCAAAGTTAGGAAAAGTTCTGTCGTATTTCAGCCTCTGCTGTGTGTTGCGCTCACTAGAATGAGCATTCCTAAGGGAATCTCGCCGTCTTCCATGCTCACCAGCTGACCTATTGCCTATCTGTGTTAGGACTTAGAGCCTAAGTGAGTGCTAGTTGATAGTATTGACATGATTTAGGTGGCTTGCCAAAAGTTAGTCACTTCATTATCTAACAGTGAGAAGCATGGGGCAGTGGGATGGCTCAACACTAAAGCCTGATGACCTTAGCTGGATACTTAGAACCCGAAAGTTCTCCTAGTACTTCCTCAGCTCTCTTCCCCAACACAGACAAATAAGTGTTTAAAAATTAATGTGCAATATTATTTCATTAGCTCAAAAGTGATAGATGAAACAAATTAAAGTATCATGAATTAGAACACTGAATTGGACATGCCTGTACAAAACCAAGGCTTATCACTGAAGGAGAATTGATGTGAGCTTCCAGCCTCTCTCAGTGTTCATGGAGAATAATGGAGATTTCCATTGTTAATAGTAAATACATGATTAAATAAACAGTCAATATTAAAGTGAATGGATGATTGATGAACAGAATCAGTTTAAGTCCAGAGAGATACTCATCTGTCAGTCTCCGAGGTCCATCTGGCAGATGTGTGCTTCATGTTCACATATTTCATGTTTTAATTTAATTCCTTCAATATCACTCCAAAAACAAAAATAGAAAAATATAAAGAAAAAGAGAAAAGAGGGAATATTCGTCCAATTATAAAAATGATGACTAAGGTAAAAATCCCTGTGGATTTACACCAATGTACTAATTCCAAAAAGAAGCAGGGATCATGTTGATCATAATGTTGTATAAAGATGGGATAGAGGAACTTACAGATAATGTCTATCTTCTTATTTAGTTTGAACTAGGTCACTTTGTAAAAGATAATATGAATAATTTCTAAATTATGATGTAACATCAAAGTAGTTCAATGTAAGAAAACATCAAAGAAAAATGGAGGGGAGCATTAATGTGGTCAACACACCCCGAGAAATGATTTCAAATGGACTGACAGATTTCTCCAAGTACAGCAGACTAGAGCGACAGTGCTGTGTAGAGCTGAGGAGAGACATGAGCAGCAGGGTTCTGCTGTTGGAGGCTGCTATCTGCATAAGTGTCATGAAATTACAGATTTCCAAGAAACCCACTGTTAATATGATACTGGGAGAAGTAATGTATGCTGACTGTAAAAGGCAAACTGTCTACAATATTGAAGAGATTGTGCCACTGATTCCTTAAATCTGTACAATTTGGAGGGTAATTAACACAATTTCAATATATTCGTGATATATGAGTTCATCATAAATAATCAAGGATTCAATATAGATGTTAGAAAACGGGCTCACTCTGAAAGTAATGATACATTATGAGAGCATTTGATTGATGATTGATGAATTAAAGAATAATAGAAAGTGAAGGCCAGGATATATGGCAGTCTCTTGTGCCAAGTTAGAGATGCTAGTCTAACCAAAAAAGGTCAGCAGTTGTGCTAAAATATTATCACAAGAACATAACAGTGGTAGCAAAATAGAGGAGGAATTCCATAAGAATTAAAGGTATGGAAATAGTAAACCATATGTAATACAAAGTAGTAAAGAAAATTATTGGTCATAAATCTATCTGACTCTATATAAATTAACTCTGAAGAAGAGGGCCAAAAAAAAAAGAAAAGAAAAAAATGGACAAAGAAAAAGGGACATGCAAAAAAATAAAATACAAAAGGTAACAGCAATTAAGGAAGTCTAAAATTTATATGAGATTCTCTGAATTCTCCAACACAGATATATTGAAAAGACACTGAAGATTAGATACTGAGGAAGAATTCAAGGGAAGAAATATCAGTCCCTAGAACCAGGTGGCAGACAGCTGCAGCAATGGTCCTCCTGTGGGCACCTGTGGACAGGTGAGGAGGGTCTCGAGGAAAGCCTCATGGTTTACGTGGGGTAAGGCAAACAGTGAACTTGCTGCTGTCTGGAAGAGCAGCTGGTGAGGTGTCCCAGAGCAGAGTAGCCTCCTCTAGTGTGGCCTCCCGAGTGTGCCACACTGACCAGTGAGTGAGCCCATCCCCAGGGCTCCAGAGAGAGCACCCAACCCGGGACCGATGATGAGATCTGGTGGAGTCTGAGTGTTTCTCGATGACAGCCATTTTATCTGAAATCTGAGGTCAGACACAGAGCCATGGCCCTTGGTCCGCCTCAGGTGCTCTCCTAGAGGCTGGGGGCGGACAGAGAGAGCAGGACCAGTCCTGTGGACCAGACTGACGTCCATTGGCCAAGGAAACATGGCTGGCAGCTAGGCAGAGTCGGGGACAAGTGGTTGGGACTTTGACAGATCTGGGAATGGAAAACAAAAATCTCAGCCTGGAGTATCCACAGGTCTTGGGCAGAGATGGGGGGAGATGAGCTGCTGACCTAGTGCAGGACAGCACAGTTGTCTAAGAAAAGGGCCAGTCATTTTTCCTTGACAATGGCAAGAATTTAGTGTGCCCTGCCCTGGAAGAGCAACAGTAGCAGCCTAGGTAAAGCAGAGGGCACAGAGTGATGTCCTACAGACTCTCAACTTTTTCTCTCCCTTCTCTGCTCTGTACCCTCCAGAAGAGCCCACAACTCATGGTGCAAACATTCAGACTTCGAGACCATCTCCACGCCCCCTAACAGACACACACAGGAACTCTGCATGTCCTGGGGGCATCGAGAGTGCTCAGAGCCCTGTAGACTGAGAGCCAACCATCTGATCTTCTTCTGTGACCAGATTATAGGTATGTGCACTGGCCTTAAGGTATTTTGCATTAGTAGAGTCCAAACAGTAATCACTTATGACTGGTTTTGAGGGCATCCTGTTATGGATCACCACACAGAACAGTCTCTCATTCTGTGCTCAGACTGTTCCCTGCACCACCTCAGAAGTGCAGCCCTGAAACTGGCCAGGGAGAGAGGGGACCCATCCACGACCGATGATGAGATCTGGTGGCATGTGAGTGATACTCGATGAACGCCAAGTATCCAGAAATCTGAGGTCATTCCTTCCCGATGCCCGCCTTCACGTGCTAAGCTGTGGATGGAGGCCCATAGGCATATGCCCGTCCCTTGTGGACCTGTGCTTCCTGGGCTGCACAGATATTTGATAACATCACTCAGAAGCAAGGGTGGTGCAGACTGTGGTCTGCCTTGTATTTGAGTCAGCCTGAGGTTGGCAATCTACCCTATCATGGGGAACTGAAGCCCACTCCCTTAGAGAGAAAGCTTGTAGGCAGCCCCCCTTGAAAGGAGACATGGTGTGTCAGCAAAAGAGAGAGAGTCTCAATATTTCTATTCCCTTCTCTGCCTTCTACCCTCCAGAGGAGACCAGAGCGATGGCACCAGTTTGCTGAGGTCGAGAGGGCCCGGGCTGCCTTGATTTCAGTCCAGAGCACCTGCTGGCAGACAGCTACAGCATTGGCCCTCCTGTGGGCACCTGTGGACAGGTGAGGAGGGTCTCGAGGAAAGCCTCATGGTTTACGTGGGGTAAGGCAAACAGTGAACTTGCTGCTGTCTGGAAGAGCAGCTGGTGAGGTGTCCCAGAGCAGAGTAGCCTCCTCTAGTGTGGCCTCCCGAGTGTGCCACACTGACCAGTGAGTGAGCCCATCCCCAGGGCTCCAGAGAGAGCACCCAACCCGGGACCGATGATGAGATCTGGTGGAGTCTGAGTGTTTCTCGATGACAGCCGTTTTATCCGAAATCTGAGGTCAGACACAGAGCCATGGCCCTTGGGCCGCCTCGGGTGCTCTCCTAGAGGCTGGGGGCGGACAGAGAGAGCAGGACCAGTCCTGTGGACCGGACTGACGTCCATTGGCCAAGGAAACATGGCTGGCAGCTAGGCAGAGTCGGGGACAAGTGGTTGGGACTTTGACAGATCTGGGAGTGGAAAACAAAAATCTCAGCCTGGAGTATCCACAGGTCTTGGGCAGAGATGGGGGGAGATGAGCTGCTGACCTAGTGCAGGACAGCACAGTTGTCTAAGAAAAGGGCCAGTCATTTTTCCTTGACAATGGCAAGAATTTAGTGTGCCCTGCCCTGGAAGAGCAACAGTAGCAGCCTAGGTAAAGCAGTGGGCACAGAGTGATGTCCTACAGACTCTCAACTTTTTCTCTCCCTTCTCTGCTCTGTACCCTCCAGAAGAGCCCACAAGACTCATAGTGCCAGCGTTCAGACTTCGAGACCATCTCCACCCCCCTAACAGACATACAGGAACTCTGCACGTCCTGGGGGCACCGAGAGTGCTCAGAGCGCTGTAGACTGAGAGTCAACCATCTGACCTTCTTCCGGGACCAGATTATAGGTATGTGCACTGGCCTTAAGGTGTTTTTGCATTAGTAGAGTCCAAACAGTAATCACTTATGACTGGTTTTAAGGGGATCCTATTATGGATCACCACACAGAACAGTCTCTCATTCTGTGCTCAGATTGTTCCCTGCACCACCTCAGAAGTGCAGCCCTGAAACTGGCCAGGGAGAGAGGGGACCCATCCACGACCGATGATGAGATCTGGTGGCATGTGAGTGATACTCGATGAACGCCAAGTATCCAGAAATCTGAGGTCATTCCTTCCCGATGCCCGCCTTCACGTGCTAAGCTGTGGATGGAGGCCCATAGGCATATGCCCGTCCCTTGTGGACCTGTGCTTCCTGGGCTGCACAGATATTTGATAACATCACTCAGAAGCAAGGGTGGTGCAGACTGTGGTCTGCCTTGTATTTGAATCAGCCTGAGGTTGGCAATCTACCCTATCATGGGGAACTGAAGCCCACTCCCTTAGAGAGAAAGCTTGTAGGCAGCCCCCCTTGATAGGAGATGGTGGGTCAGCAAGAAGAGAGAGAGTCTCAATATTTCTATTCCCTTCTCTGCCTTCTACCCTCCAGAGGAGACCAGAGCGATGGCACCAGTTTGCTGAGGTCGAGAGGGCCCGGGCTGCCTTGATTTCAGTCCAGAGCACCTGCTGGCAGACAGCTACAGCATTGGTCCTCCTGTGGGCACCCGTGCACAGGTGAGGAGGGTCTCGAGGAAAGCCTCATGGTTTACGTGGGGTAAGGCAGAGAGTGAACTTGCTGCTGTCTGGAAGAGCAGCTGGTGAGGTGTCTCAGAGCAGAGTAGCCTCCTCTAGTGTGGCCTCCCGAGTGTGCCACACTGACCAGTGAGTGAGCCCATCCTCAGGGCTCCAGAGAGAGCACCCAACCCGGGACCGATGATGAGATCTGGTGGAGTCTGAGTGTTTCTCGATGACAGCCGTTTTATCTGAAATCTGAGGTCAGACACAGAGCCATGGCCCTTGGGCCGCCTCGGGTGCTCTCCTAGATGCTGGGGGTGGAGAGAGAGAGCAGGACCAGTCCTGTGGACCGGACTGACGTCCATTGGCCAAGGAAACATGGCTGGCAGCTAGGCAGAGTCGGGGACAAGTGGTTGGGACTTTGACAGATCTGGGAGTGGAAAACAAAAATCTCAGCCTGGAGTATCCACAGGTCTTGGGCAGAGATGGGGGGAGATGAGCTGCTGACTTAGTGCAGGACAGCACAGTTGTCTAAGAAAAGGGCCAGTCATTTTTCCTTGACAATGGCAAGAATTTAGTGTGCCCTGCCCTGGAAGAGCAACAGTTGTAGCCTAGGTAAAGCAGAGGGCACAGAGTAATGTCCTACAGACTCTCAACTTTTTCTCTCCCTTCTCTTTCTGTTCCCTTCATACAGGTCCACCATACTGATCACCCTAGAGTGCTGACTTGGAAACATCCACACACAGTCATACACACACACACACACACACACACACACACACACACACACACACACACAAATGCACATTCACAGTCTGCTTGCCCTCTGGTTCCTGTGATTTCTCATAGCCCTGTGAACTCACAGTCAACTGTCTGACCCTCCTGGGATATCAAATTATAGGTATGTACTTGGCCTTACGGTGTTTTGGCATTAGTAGGTTTCAGAAAGTAGTCACTTATAAATGGTTTCAGGTGGAACCTGTTTTGGTCCCCACACAGAATAGTCTCCCATTTTGTATCAGAATTATCCATGCAACACCTAAGTCATTTATTTGGCCCTGCAGCTGGTCATGTAGTGATGTACCCCATCCACGACCAGTAATGAGATCTCGGGGTGTTTGTGTGCTAATTGATCCTTGCCCTGTATTCTGAAATCTGGGAGCCACCTTGTTCTGTACCTTATCATGGTAAGCTTTGTATGTAGTCTCACTGGCATATGCCAATCTCCTGTGGACCTCTTTTTTTTTTCAAACTGCCATTTTATAGTAGTACTAATTTCCCATACTTAGAGTGTGAAACATAATCAGTAAAATGCTAAGTAGAACTTAGATGTCCATTTTCTCAATCAGTGTAACGTTTAAGATAAATTCACTAAATGGGTTCCAATTACCCAATTGCTTAGAATGAAATCCTGCTCGCTTCTCCCTTGGTTATGACAAGTAACCAGAACATATTCAGGAAGAATCTTCTCATTGTTTCTTTTTCTTTTTCTGCTTTTCCTTCTTCAGAAAGCCTGCCTGACTTACTGATGTTTTCAGAGACTGTTCCAGTCTTCCAGTGTTTTTCTGATGCCACTTTGACAGCCTGTGACAAACTATGACTGTTACCTACTTTTGACTCACACTTTGGTTGGATCTTGGTATGATCTCATAATAATGTTATAACTTTACCTGTAAGCAGTGTGTATAGCATTAATTATATAGTGATAATTTTAACAGCACATTGGAAAACCAAAGCCCTAATCCAACCTTCACATACTTTCATATTCTTTTCTGTTTCACCTTACTCTTTGGCCTGCTGGTAGGTTCCCTTTTCTTCTACTAAATTTACAAGTTATAGAATATTAATATCAAGTTATGCGTATTTTTTTGCTAAGCCATTTTTTTCCACATTCCCATATTCATTTCTCTTTTCTGTTTTACCAAATCACTACCTCTCTTTTAGCCACATTTACACCTTCTGTGGCACTTCACCAGATTTTATTCTACCTTTCTCGGTGCAGTTTACTAACACTCACTCAACTTTCTTATCCAGCCTTCCCTGTAAATTGCCAAACCGTGCTCACCAGTATCACACTTTTGGTCTCCAATATATCAGTTTTAAACATTCACATTTGAATGGGGCCATACTCTATGCATTTATCTGTCCCTGGTTTATTCTTATGCCCATATCTATATCTGTGGTTTTGTTGAAAATAATCCTGTTCCTTCCAGTCTATTTTGGGGATGACTAGTATCTGACATAGTGTTTACATGCACAACTTGTACAGTTTCCCAACATAATAGTAGTGTAAAAACTAGTCATTTTTGCATAAATTAGACAATAGTATTTTATGGACATTTCTGAAAAGGAGCCTTACAAATATCCTAAACACCAAATTCCTTATTTATATCTATATTATATTTTTTTATATTTCCAATTTTGTATTAATATTCTAGTTCATATTACTGATTGCTAATTTAGAAGATTAGTCTCTTCTAAATTTCAAGCCATACTCACATATTACCTTAACCTGCTTAGAACGTCTATGACAAAGTTGACAAAGAGCAACGTAAGCTCAGGCTCACATGTCCTAAGAAATACATTTCTAGCACTCATTCTGCAAACAGTTAGTGATGCTCAAAACTCAAAATGAAAAGTTCTTATGAGCCAACACATCTGCTCCTGGGTAGAACTGCAAGGTAAAGTACATTTATGTCCAAGGAACATCAGTATGTCCACATTGACCACAACATTAGTCGGAACTCCTTGCTCATCTATTTATGCATGATGAGAATACCTGAGTCCACTTTTATGGGGCCTTGCTCCTTCTTCTTTCACTAAGGACAATACATGCAGTTCACCTCACAGCCACAGTTTCTGTTCTGAATCCCTGGACATAATTAAATTTGTTTATTTCATTAGGAGATAAATTATGTTATTTAGTTAAGGAGTAGATATATCACTCTAAATCAAAGTTGGAAACCATGATTGTTATCCACCTTTAATAATCATTTATTACCTTTGTTCTTTTTTTTTTTTTTTTTTTTTACTTCCCCCAGTGGGCGTGTATAAGCTGGCAGTGAATTCCCTGTATATAAACTGCATCCAGGTAAGTTTGGGTGACAGCCATAGGTCTTGTCTATGTTTTTACAGACATCACTTTATTTTACAAAGCCTGAAATATAATCCTATAGATTCACTTTCACATTGTCATTTGAGATGATGATGAGCTTGTGTACTAAGTGTGTACAAATTATGAGCATGGCTTATAGTACATGCGAATACATTAATGTGAGCTCCAATCTAAACATGTCAGCGAGCTGTGCTCCTGTTGAATGTCTGTGTATCACAGGCATTCCTAGTGAACTATTGGCTTATTGAAAAGTGTCGATAGGGAGGAGAGATCAAGCCTTTTCTGGACCAATGATGACATTTACCAAGGTATGAGAGACACGATGACTAATACCTGTCTGAAACTCTAAGGTCCAACATGAAAGATAAGTAGATGAGCACGGAGCCTTGAAGGAGAGTGCCATTTTGTAGCCTGTGCTCTGCTCTGTACTCCTCAGAATGGCTGCTCCTGCGGTGAGTCCTGCCTTCTCGTGGTCCCCAGTGCAACATCTCTGTCTCTGCATTGTACTTTGGACAGTGTGAGTACTAGTTAGTGTCCTTGTGTTTGATGTGCTCTGTTTAAGGTTAGTTACTTCAATATTGAAAAGTGTTTGATCTGGGGCTGGTAGATGGCTCAGTAGATGAAGGCACTTGCTGCAAAGTCTACTGACCTAATATTGTTTCCCTGTACCCACATGGTGGAAAGAAAACAGATTCCCAAATGTTGAACCCTGGCCTCCATGCACATATCCTTGGCATGCACACTCATAAACACAAATGAATATATTCAGTAAAAACTATGGCTGCATTAAGCCAAGTATAACCAATGACACATATGGACTTAACATGAAATAGGACACTGAGTTGGCCTTGCTTGATGAACCCAGGCTCCTCATTGAAGGAGACAGGTTGGGGTTAACTCAGTCTTTAGAGAGGAGTGACTTCCAGTCTGTTTCAGTGTTTGGGGGAATAATACGGTTTCCATTCTTACAAGTGAATTAATGATTCAATCAAGAGCCAAAATGGAAGGGAACAGAGGTGACTAGAGTCAGGTTAGATTGATGATGGACACAGGTAGTATAGTCATGTAGTATACAGGATGATGTACATGTGTCTGTCTCTGGGGTCCATCCTGCAGCAGATACTATTTCTGTCTTCACCTATTTCATAGTATTCTTTTAATTCCTTGAATATCCAAGAAATATAGAAAACAATGGAGATAAGTTGGTGAAACATTATTCAGTTACAAACATGAATTTTAAGGCCAAAACAAACCCCCTTAGTACACTGAAAATATGTAATCCAAAGAGAAGCAAGTAGCATACAGCTGTTTGTGTGTACAGTTGAAATAATGTCAGTAACAGATAACATCAATTTTCTTGGTTAGCTGGAAGTTTGAAGATATTCATTTTATAAAACAATAGTGTAAATAGTTTTAAATTGAAAAGTCTTGCATGAATGGTTCAGATGGCAGATAATCATAGAAGACAATGTAAGAAGTGTGGCTTTTAAAAACAAACAAACAAAATTTTGTTGGTGCACTCTCATTGGAGTGGATACTCTCGGGTGGCTGACGTGTTTATCCATGGCCAGCAGCACCGGCTTGTGTCTTTGTATAGAGCCTGGGACAGATATGATTTCCAGTGTTTTCACCCTTGCTGCCTTCTCTGTAAGCATTTCATTATCCTCTCCTCTCCCATCCCCTTCTGGCCTCTCCTCTCCTCTCCCCTCTCCTTCCCTCCCCTTTCCTCTATTCCCTCCCCTCCTCTCTGTGCTCAGGATGGACCATGTAATTAGAGGATTCCCCCAAAGGTCAAGGGCTCCATTCACACCCTGCTGAAGAGGAAAACAAGACCAGTGTGAGTTACAGAAATCTCCTTGTCTTGGTTTGAGTGGTTTAATACAGTGTTTAAACAGTGTATAGTGTAGTTAGTGATGGTCTAAAATAGTGTCTAAACAGTGGGTATTGTAGAGAGGGCTATCTGAATACCAATGGGAGATATGAGGACTACATGAAATTGTCCATTGTTAATACAAATGTGATAACTAGTGTATTATTAATATGGTGGATATATTATAGAGAATCCATGTACAGATTTGGTATAATCAGACTCCTAGATTTATTTTTTGTGGGGGCAGCAGTTACTAATCATAGGGTTTATAATTAAGTAATTAATAGGCAACATAGAAATAATTAGAGAAAGGGAGAACTAATCTTGGCTTGATGATGACCACCGGTGGCATTTGATGCATACATGATGACTATGTGTCTGAAACACCAAGATGCAACACAGAAGATATGTGGCTACATAAAGATTGACAGCAGAGTTGTCACTGTTTGTCCCCTGCTTTGCTCTGTGCTCCTTAGAATGAATTCTTCCAAGGTGATCTGTTCATCTTCAATGCCTGCCAGCCCATCAGTTGCTCAGGATGATGTGAGATCTGGCCAACATTCTTGTCATCATTTTGATGGAAGGTTAGTCACCGTGCTACTAAGATGTGAAATATATTCACACTAGGTCAAAGTGTAAAAGAGAACATATATGAAGTTAGTATAAAAGAATGTATGAGATTATACTTATGTATAAAAAGGAGGGTAGTTATTGAAGGAGACACATTTATATTCACAATGGAGAAAAATGGGGCCAATCTTGGAATAATGATGACTCTGATGGGATATATGAGTTAACAAATAGTGACTTTATGTCCATCATAAAGTCCAGTTGTCAACAGTAGAGGTGGAATTGACTTCTGTGCATATATAATATATATAAATATATATTTCCTGATGTTCTTATGATGAGATCAGTGCAAGAATCAATAAATATACAAATAAAAATAAATAAATGTGGTCCGATTATAAAAATACATGATGAACAAGAAATACTTTTTAGGTCAGAGAGGAATCTTATACATCTGCTTTTCAGCAAATGCTGAAAGTTATGATATAAAGCATAATGTTATGAATGTCCAAATCATTGCTAAGCTTGCCCTTATTTATTTAAGAGCTACTTAAATAGATAACCTCATCGTATAAATGATTACCTAGGCCTGAGTAAGTGAAGGTCAGAGGTCAATAGCAATGTCTTCATTTTGTCTTTATCTCCTCTGCTTTGCATTCCTTAGACCTTTGCTGACTTGGGGATGTCTCCACGGCTGGGAGCTATGCTGACATCATGGGTAGAGCTGGACAGACCACTGTGAAGATTGGCCAGGATTCCTTCTTCAGGTTTGATGGTTTACTTAACAGAACTCAATGTGTGACTGAAAAATATAGTATGGCACCAAGGATGGCTGCTCCATACCAGTGAGAGCCACAGAAATGAATGGAAGTTGTCAATTAATTTATCAAACCCTAAGGATAATTACTTAAGCTTAGAACAACTCCACACAGAGTAGGAATAAGAAAGATTTGTAGAGTTGTTGGAATAATAGGTCCTCAAATTATTTTTAGATGATTATTGAACTAATTAGCAGACAATAAAGGAGTAGTGACTAGAAAAAGTCATGATTGATAATGATCACTGGTGGCACATGAGCCACATGGATGACTGCATTTCTGGAGCCCTGAAGGTCTACCAAAGAAGAACTATAATCTATTTCCTTCATTTCAAGTGTTCTTGTAGGACTGTAGAATATATTCAATTTTTTCTGATGTTATAAATTCCATTCATTTTTTATAATTTTATCAATGTGAGACTCAGTCAATTAGTCTTCAAAATAAAATAGGTAAAGCATTGTCTAATTCTCAAAATATGAGAGCCATGAAATAGATCAGTATGTACAGAATACATTATGCCACCTTTAAAACATATTTTTTTCTGTTGATGACATCCTAGCAGTGTAAATTACATACAATGCCACATTCTGAGCAAGTTTGAAAATTTCCATCTTTTTAAAAGATAAGATTAAATATAATCTTATCCAAAAGTGGTACCCTGAATGGCCAGTAGTAGGTGAAAAGCACAAGACATTACTAGGAAAGTTTTTTTTAAAAGTTAGTTTTGTTTTCTCTGGTCATTAGTCCCTGGAGTGGACATACTGTGCGATTGGAGCATCCTCCATGGCTGGAGGCTCTGTCTGCCTGCACTGAGGAATGTGAGCCATCCTGATTATCCTCCAGTGTTATCTTGTTTTGAGTGATTTGCTTAAGAGAATTCCATGCATTATATCACCAGGCATGGTGACACATGCCTTTAATCCCTGGAGGTATTTAATTCTCGAGTCAGAGGCAGGTAGATCTCTGAGTTCAAGGCCAACCTGGTCTACAAAGCCAATTCCAAGACAGCCAGACCTACACAGAAAAACCCTGTCTCAAAACATCCCTCCTCAAGAAGAATACTCAATACATCATTTTAAAGTATATGATTAGTGATGACCAACCCTTTCCCATTGATTGATCAGGGATGGATATTAAGTCTTCTATTGGTTATACATTATGAATGCCAGAATGAATTACTATTAATATAAGAATACTCTTTATACAGATTAGGAGTATCAAGTGTGTTCTTGGTGTTTTATGACTCATGGGACTTACCATTTATTTCTAACATATCAGTGCATTAATGGATAGGAAGGTATAAACCAGTGAAATAGATGGTCAACCTTGGATCATTGTTGACTGCTTACCAGTTGGTACAGTGAGTGCATTTATACATTCTGAGGTCCATTACAATGGTTCCATAGCCCATTGTCTGTATTTGAAATGGTCAAATGCCTAGATACCAGGAATATACAGTGTAGTTCATTTTGGTCTTTATCTTAATATATTTTCATGATCGGTCAATGTGGGAATGAATAAATATATGTGCAAATAAAACCAATGGATATAGTTAGGCATTGTCCAACTATAAAAATATATGATAAGTTTGGAGAATTGTTAATATACAGAGAAAATAGCAAATTCCAAAGAAAAAGTCACTACTCTTACCTCTCTACCTAATGATATATAAACAGTACAATTAAGAGTTTTCAAATTATTGCAGTAGCTAATTTGAAATTATTTATTTTCTTAAAAAATAAATGACTCCAAGTAGTGCTTGATCGAGTAAAAAAGCTGCAAAGCAAGGATGAAGAGTGAGGATGTCTTAATTTTGTCATATTCTGTGTGCTGTATGTCTCAGAGTGAAGGAACTATGTGACATGATGGGAGTATCTGCCATGGTCAAGGGCTCTGTAGTTTCCCGAGAAGAAGTGCATGTTGGATGTGAGTTGAAGCCAACATTCTTTTCTTGCTATGGGTAGTTTGCTTAAGATAATCACTGTATTATTACGAAGTATGTAATATACCTAACAGTGGCCAACATTATGCCAGTGCCCAGTAGGGGTTGATGCAAAGTAGTCTATTGATAAGACAGACATAAAACATTGAAGATAATTAATTAAATAGCCACACTAATGTTTCAGTAGCTCTGTATACAAATTAGGACTAGAAGGGCTCTTCTGCATCTTGTGCAGTTCGTAGAGACGACATTGGTACTAAGATGATGAATTACCCAACAGACAGGAGATGAATGGAGAAGCATAGGCTAGTCCTTGATCAATGATGACCACTGTGGTATGGAAGTCATGAATGAATACATATGTGGTATTCTCAGATCCGTCCCCAAAGATTAGTGCATTCTTTGTTTTGAATTATCCTCTTGATAAGTGTCAGGAATTAGAACATATTACATTTTATAATTTGTGTTTATGCATTTTTATTCTACTTTTATGATTGGGCCAGTGTGAGAAGTAATAAATAAATTAAAAACATCAATTAAGCAAAGTCAAAATTTAAAATATATGATGAAACAAAAGTACCATCAGTAGATTTTGAAATTAGTATGTGATCGTATACCTACCACCTCTTTGGCTATGATGACACCAGCAGTATAAATTGTAGAAGTTGTCTACTTCTAGGCTACGGGGGAGTTCAAAAGTCTTCATTTTTCTCTCAATAGAAAATGAAATATGTGCACTCTCAATTAATGATTGTTAAACAGATTGTTAGTAAAAGCTGAAAAGCGATACTCAGTGGAGAGGAAACAGCATTTTCTTTGTCATGATTTCTGCGCTTTGCCCCTTAGAGTAGGTTAGGAAGGAGAATTCCTTATTCACACCTGGAGGCCAAGGTAAGAATTAGACAACAATTCTTGTTTTTACTTGTGTAGTTTTTTAATAACGTAATCAAATATGATATTTAGACCATGGTATTAGTCTATGTCATTATTTAGTGGCAGAAAGCCATGTGCAGGCCAGTTTCTAATGTGGAATGGACATGGAGCATTCCACTGGCAGGCACATGTATGAAAAGCTGAGCAATGTGATGGTGAGGTAAAGTTTTGAGAAAGAGCCTATAACGGATTATAGCAAGGGCAATTATCCAATGGCAAACCTCTTGGGTTTCTGTGAGCCATACTAATTAAAAGTTACCAATCATGAATTAGTGAGTTATTAACTAAACAGGGTAGCAGTGAAAAGAGACCAGTCTTCATCCTGAGCTTTATTGTGACTCTATATGGGTACGTGTCTAGAGCTGAGGTCCACCACAGAAGTAATACAAACCCCCTGTCTTGAAGTTACAGTGTAGATAGAGATGAGAAAAATATGAGGGCTTCATTTTTCCTTTTGTTAAAAATGCATTTTCAAGCTAATACTACACATAGTTCAAGGAAAGAGCCATTATCCAAATAGATAGATAATAATGAATAGAAATAAGCCTTATTCAACTATAAGAATATTTTGCAAGGCAATCAGACATTTCTATTTACTGAAAACACTGTTCTGCACCAGGTAGGAGACCAGCAACAGAGTCTGTGTCTATGTTACAGCTGACACTGTTTGTTTATACAAGAGAAATCAAATAAAAGACATCCCAAATTGTCTAAATGACTGACTAATGAAAGATCGAATACAAAGCCAATGCAAATAGGGTCTCATTCTTGCTAATGATCTTCTTTGCTCTGTATTCCTGAAAGAACACAGTTGTGCTGAGCCAGTCTTCTTCGGTCAGGTCTGTGGGTGTGTCCATGGGTGTGAATAGTGTATTTTCTTGATTTTTTAAAGCCATTCACACACACACACACACACACACACACACACACACACACACACACACACACAATTAAAGTGTGAATTAGAACTATTTGGAAGACATTTTGACTCATTTGTGAAAATTGGCTTAATATAAAGCATTATTACACTGACTGATGTGTGCATGTATCCAAAATTGAGTTTAATTAAGAATAGAGATATTGTTCTAGGCGGTAATTGTGCAGAAGGGTGTTCGGCCTGCTCAGGGATCACAAGTTTTGGTGATTATTGCATGATTATTTGTAGTGAGCTTATTGATACAGCTCCATGCTCAATAAAACCATGTGAACATGAAGGAAGAATGCAAGGACCAGCTTGAGCCCATAATAGTGGTGTTGCTAGTGTAGGAGTTTTGGACCATGAAGCGTATTTAGAACACAGACTTCCAATACAATAGGAATCTAATCTCTGTTCGGGGAGGGAACCTGTAGAAAGATCTTGAGAAGTATCCATGGATCTCGTGTTTATGTTGACTAGAAATTTGTCCGTGAGAGTCAGTGAATAGAATGGAAATGATAAGATATGGCAGAGGGAGCTGTGTTCCAGCTCCTAGGTGATGTGTCAAAGGAAGAACAGTGATAGACTGTGGAAGGGATGATAAATGGACCAACAGGTTTTGCTCTGTTTCCAAGTGTCAGTAGCGACTGATGTCTAGGTGAGAATATTACCCTGGGTTCACCGCAAGTTCAGAGCTCATTTTATCATAAGACAAATGCCATCATTACCATGAGTGACCACTAAGTGCTCACTAAATGCCGTCACAAAGTTAAAGAGTCTGGGTCACCTTGGCAATGAGCAATGTGCCTGTGGCTACATTATTTTTGCTACTGTCTTAAGTGTATAAAAATAGTGAGTTTATGGTTTTAAAGAATAAATGACTAAGGATAAAAATCAACACACTAAACTGGAAATAAATGGCACAGTAATAGCATTTCTTGAAGTAACAGTTATAATTTATCTATTTTTCTCTTAGTTTAAAATTTTTCAATATTTTATTAATTCTCTGAGAATTTAATATAATGTCTCTTAATTTTTTTATTCTCATAAATGTATACTGTATTTGCATCATTACACACACCCGCAAACACATACACTCCTAGGCCTCACCATTTGCAAATGTCCTTTTTCTGTTCTACAGGACACTACCTCGGCTGATCTGTTCCTAATCATGAAGATCTCAGCCCTTGCCCTCCGGGAAGAGAGAATATTATGAAATGTAAGTGATGATGTTATCAATTTGGGCCGTTATCTCATCGTTTCAATTGTGTCATTACAGAAGGTAACTGGATGTCAGCAGGCCCTATATTCCGGTGATGATAATAATGTTCTACGAACCCACATTAATTCAATTGAGCACAAATGAAGTACAAGAACAAAGTGGTCCTTTCCCTCATTTTCAAAAGTTGAATTGAACACCCCTTCCCTGCTGGAGGCTGCTCCTGAGGGAGTTGTGCTTGCGGGTATACAGTCTCACGGTGTGCCTGTTCACGTTAAAGGCGTGAAGCTGAATGCGAATGGGCTGATGATGTAAAGGGAAGGCATCTGAGGGAACCCTGTGATCTCTGTGCGCAACTGAAGTCCGTCGCATGAAAGGGTTAGTGGGCCATGTGGTGAGACTGCCTGAAGTAAAGCTTAAGAACCTACCTTTGGCGTTGGTGAGGGCTCATACACAGTGATTTTGTGCAGAGACTGAATAAATGTCTCGATCGATACAAATATTCGGGAGGAAGTAAAGTGATCCCAGTATGTGGACCGATTTTTTAAAGCATGAATTATTAATTTAGTTCTGGAATGTCTTGGTCCATTCAGCTTGAAATGCTAACGGTTCCTTGGTATTTAATTCGTTATGGGAAAAAGTTAAGCAAATAGATGAAGGTTAATTAAACGGAAGAGTGTGCAGAGTGACACCGAGGCCAGCTCATGCTTCTCTGTATGCTTCTCTATACTCAGTAGAATGGATGCACATGGGATCCTTTCCTCAACACTTCAGGACAGAGGTCCCAACATTGACAGTGTGGTCAAGGGCAGTATAGATATAGGTGAGTAGCAGACCGAGTTTCTGCTCTTGCTTGTCCGTTTTGTTACAGATGATCACTGTCTGTTTAAAATTGACATTATGTGTCATATAGTCAAAGAAGACAACACATATACTAGGTGGTCCTGTTTGCACAAATGAGACCTATACACAGTAAGCTTGGACTGCTTTCTGGAACAGAGAGATCACAGATACGCTCTAATTGCAGGCAAAGACCATGTTCTTGTTAAGAAAATGAAATAGATGTAAGCGTACCCACCCTGGAATTGTATAATAAAAGGAAGACTTGTTTAAGTAGGGCCATGTAGTGTGTTCTGCTAAAGAAGTCTAAAGAAAACTGTAGAAACCAATTCCTCCTGACCTATATGGCTGTAGATTCTTTTTTGTTGACTTTCTTTTTGAAAATGTATGACTAAATTAATAAGGAAATATTCACACCCAGAAATTTTAAATAATTGAGATATTCCCATGAGAACTTTTGCCATGAAATAAGAACTATGATCAACTCTCTTCTTTTCCTCTTAAACCCATTTAACCCAAAAGATTTCGTCTGTTGCCTTTGTGTATAAGGGAGCCCCAAATACATATTAAATACTCAGTTTAAGGGTTCTTTCTTTGTACCTTGTGGACTTGTCACTATTGAGTAAACCAGTCTTTTATAAAGTAAATTGGAAGTGGACCAGTCACGGGCTAGTGATTAAAATGTTTTGAGATAAGTACTATGATTATAGTTCTTAGCCAATAACATCTATGAAAGGAACTATTGTCTCTCTTGTCTTTGTTTTTATAGAACATGGTGAATATGGCCACTTTGTATGTACCAGTAAGATGGGGTTTTTTATATTCTTTCACCAAACTGATGGGCATTTTCCTATCTCGGGCACAAATTCTAGTGAGCTGATGTGTTTGCTGGTTTGTTAGGAGGTTCTAATGCTCCCTGATTTTTATTTGCTGATACTTAGTATCTGAGAATGCTAAAACAATTAGTAATAAGAGTATTAATTTCTTCTCAATAACTATTGACTTTCATCCTTGTCAGACCTTGTGTCAAACATGGAGTCCATACAGGAGCCTGCTCTAGTAACTCTATGGGATTGGTTAATACCAGCTCACACACAATGTAACAGAACAAGTATACATGTGGTCCAGAAATGCAGAGTTCTCTGCTCAATTTAAATTATGTATACTGTATGAGAGGGGGCATTACTATGCTGTGAGGTCTTTCACAACCTCAACTGTCAGCCAGGAGCACATGAAATGTTTGTTGAATGAGTAGGTGAATCAATGATAACAAAAAGAATGGATAAATAAATAAAACAATGAATGAATGAACGATTCTTTGAGGAGTTAAAAAAAGGAAAGAATGAAGTCATGAAAAAATCAAGGATTGTGCCAAGAGCAGATTAACAATACACTAATTAGTGACTAAGTTAAAAAGTGAATGAGTACATGGAATGTTTGTGAGTAGATACATTAATAAGCAGGCCAGCATGGAATGAGTGAGTGATGAACAATGAAGCCAGTGAGTTAATGAATGAAAGACAAACATACCAGTGAGTCAACCTAGGAGAAGTGAATGGGCAATCTTGAGTGGATCAGTCAGTCCATGGATTCCTGAATGGATTTATGAATGATTGGATACGTAGACTTCATCTGTAATGAAGGGATAAATGAAGCAGGGAGTCAGTGTTTGTGTCATTAATGAGAGGAAAAGTTACTGTTTACCTGAATGAATGAATGAATGAATGAATGAATGACTCACTCAATGATGTGTAACTGAGTGACTCATTAAAAGGAAAGAAAATCATTATAACAACTGCATAATAAACATGTAACTGAAAGAAATGATAAATGAACATGTAAATGAAAAGTCCAAGGGGTAGATGAATGAAGATATCATAGTTAATGAATAAAATAATTGATTAGGACACAAATTAGTCAGCAAGTATGTAATTAAAGAATAAGTTAAGTTGTAGTGAATGAATGACTGAACAAGTGAATTAGTTGATGTATGAATGAGTCAGCTGTCTGGGCGTGAGGCAATGAATGAACTCGAAGCTACTCTTTCTCTGTGTTCCAAGGAGAGTGACCACGCCCAGCTCCACACCAGTTGTAAATACTTGAGCCAGAGCTCCCTGCTTTCTCTATCATGGGCGTTTGTTTACATGTCAGCCCTAAACTAAAGAGCCTTGAGGGCTGGGAACTGGGTCAAATTCTTCTCTCTATCCATAGCCCCGGCCCAGCCTTGAGCCTGGTAGGCGCCCAGTAAATTATTACTGAATGAGTGAGCAAAGGACTAAAAATACATGTGCTTTTGTGGAACCAGTATGGCCTGGTAGCTGCTCTTTGGAAGAGTGTGCTATGTGTCAGATGGTCTGTGGCATCCCTCCCTGCAAGACCAGATTCTCGCCAGGACCCAGCTTTCTGTGCCAGAAAATGAGACAGGATACTGGCAGTTCTGACTGCCCGGGACACTGGCCCATCCTTGGGTAACTCTGGCTTGGCATGGTGGAATGGAAGCCCTGGGTCTTCCCGAAAGCTACCCTTGCCTCTGCCAAAACAGGAGATCAAAAATAACTGAGGCTTGTTTTTATGCCTCTGCTGAGTGGGCGCATGCCTTGCCTTTCCAAGCAAACCAAATTCCTCTTGCTTCTAATCATGGGACTTTGGGTTTAATGAGAAGCACCTTCCCACAGTCAGCCTCCTGTTCTGTCCAGCTACAGGAGGACAATGATACCTTCCTGAGGGATTTGTACCTTTCCCAGGAGCTTATTGTAGGGTAGTTAGTGATACTTCACGTTTTTCATGTCTGTGGCTTCATACCTGGGAGGGAAGAGATACCTTACAGAATTTAAAAATTACTGTTCTGGCTGTATTTATTTGACCCTTTCAGTTATGTTCGTCTAAAGCTATGCTTATGTTACCCAGATCCTCATAGCCTAGAAGACTAGAGAGGTCAACCAAGTTCTAAGAGGGATAGCAGATGAGGCAAGCCTGTCAAGAAAAGGCACAACATGCCCTTCTACCAGAGAACAGATGATTTAAAAAGTATGTTGGCAGCACTTTTACTCTATATGGGACACTTGCCTAAGATCCAGCATCCATGGTTCCTTCCTTCTCTCTGCTCCCTCCCTCCCTCCCTCCCTCCCTCCCTCTTTCTTCCCTCCTCTCTTTGAGCGAGTATGTGTCTAGCAATACCATAGGCCTGACTCCAGACATTCTTTCTTTCTTGCCATGGTGGTCCCTGACCCCGGACGCCAGCCCTCATTCCCAGTTCTGCATCCGCCCTTTGGACTCAGTGATGATGTATAGGATCACCCTCGAGGATTTGATTACAGTTCACACTATCCATCCTACTTCAGACCAACTCAGGTAAATCCCTACCTTCCTAATGTTCACATCTGAGTCTCAAATTTTGACTCATTTCATTTGATGGTTTACCATCTGAGAACACTCTGGACCCCCATGAGAAGAGCTCAGACTGTGTTTGTGGCAGTTTGTAACCCCTGAATGTTGTGCCTTGGCAAGCACTGAGTGCTACAGGCTAGAGTCTAAAGCTTTGCTTTAAGGGTGGTACACACATAGAAGACACCACAGTTAAGTTCCCCCTTGTTGCCCAGAATTTTCTGGGTAAGCAAAGTAACCAATCTTAGAACATTCAACAACTTCAAAATAGCCTTAGTTGTTCTTGGAATTATGTCACCGTCATTATCACCACCACTACCACTGGTGCCACCATCATCACCAACACCATGATCACTACCACTATCACAACCTCTGTCGCCACCATTCCCACCATACCATCGCTACCACCACGATCACCACCGCTACCCCCAACATCATCACAATCATCACAGCCATCGCCATCGTCACTAACATTGTCCCCATCATTACAGCCATCATCAGTATCATCATAACTACCACCACCTACCATGATAGCCACCTCCAATAACACCACTGTTACCACTAACACTACCATCAAAAACCATCACCACTATTACCACCATCACCATTACCAGCAACAATAGCATCATCACTACCACCACAACCATCATAACCATCACTGCTATCAACAATGCCATCAACTCCAGTAACACCATCACTGCCATTATTAACACAACCACCACTACCACCATGACCAGCACTATCAACAACAGTGCTTCGACCAGTATAACTATCACGATCATCATCACTACCATAATCACTACCACCACCACCACCACCACCACCACCACCACCACCACCACCAACGTAGCAACAATACTACACTAACACCACCACTGCCATCATGGCCACTGCCAATGTCAGTGAGACTTCTCCCTCATCTTGCCCTGAGATGTATCACCCATGTTCTGTGCTCTTACTTAGCGTTGACTTTGACACATATTCAGAGATACCACATTGGTCACAAATGACCTGTTTGGGTATGCACCACTCCAAGCAGACCCTGCCATCCCTGGACTTGAACTTGATGATCTCTGACCTCTGCTGCCCAGAACAGAACTTGGTATAAAACTTGAGCATGGAGATTGCTGGGGAAAGGTAAAGATCAATGAAGGCAAAACACATGATTGTATGCCCATCCTGAGTCCAGAGTATGTGTCCGACTCAAGGTCCTGTATCCCCCAAGCACAGATAGTCCCTGCTCGCTGCTGGGGCCTGCCCTCCTCCTCCAGCTCCACTCATCCTTTGCCTGTCCCTTTCTAGAAGATGTGTAACCCTAATCCTTGAAATTGCCTGGCATGAATTTTATTCCCTGCTTAAATAAATCTCACTCCCCCACGAAGTTTGGACAGGATGCAGGCAATCAGACTAGGGTTTGGAACCGAAAGTTTTGCAAAAGACCTCTTTCAAAATTTGAAACCCCATGGTCACAGGCCAGAGCTGAGTCTGACTTGGGAGAATGTATGTTCTGTGACCCCCTCCCAAAGGAAGAGAGGGAGTGAAGGCTAAAACAAGTCCTCCTGTCACTGAGCCCATGGACGATTTGCAAGGCTGAAAACCCTGTGATTTAGTTCTGTTTCTCTGATGGAACTGGAGAGAGATTGGTCCCCTCCCTAGCTCTTCTTTCAAGCTTTTGGCAAAAGCCTCAATCCTCCCCTAACCGGCAAGGAGACTAGGCCTAAAAAAATCACGGAGAGTGCATGGCATGGATAGGTGTAGTTTTCTGGCCCAGGCTAGGTGGGGTGTAGGGGTAGGACCAGTGCAAACTGTGTCACAAGGCCTCACTTTTCCAAAGGAAGGAATGATTAGGAGACCTGGTATTTTCTTTCTTCACCCAGGGAGGTACCCTTGTGTATCCTTGGAGAAGTCCCAGAACTCAACTGTAAGAAACAAGTTGGTTTCTTTTCGCTGTTGGTCATATGTATCTCCTACTCCATGTTATGTGGGCATGCTCTGCCTGGCAGACTGCTAGAAGCAGGCAGAAGCTCCCCCAGATAGAGGGTGTGTTTTTCCATCTCTTCAAAGTCTTCAAGGCCCACCTGTGTCTGCACCTCTACCTCCAGATGGAGTGAAACATGCTGACCTCTTTGGCACAGCTCCTTTGGCCTGCCTCTCAAGCTCCCGGGAGGACTCAGCATTTTTCTTTGGCTTTTATAAAGAGAGACATTGCTTCCCTTCATCAGATAATTGAGCTGAACCTAGTGATTGCCTAGTCCCGCCTCAGTTTTCCCACGTGTAATAGGGACACCATGGTAACATGAGTTCTCCCTCACTATTTTAGCTTTTGAAGGAGCTAAGGATTGTTTCTCCTGGCCTAGACTTAGGTGCATACTTCCTTCTTCCCATCCTCTCAGGTCCCCCTGCATGCTTGCTCTTAATTTCGGATCCAGTTGATGATATTTTATTGCCCCTTAAATTCACCCACTCTCCCACCATTGTCTTTTAGGACTGTGTAGAAGTCATTCTTCCCGTTACCAGAGCCCATTCTCAGCATAGTTCTGGTATCATCAGTGGCTGGAGACCGTGGCTAGTTCCCCGGCCAGCTCTAGAGCTCCCTTCCTTCAGCTGTCCCTTCATCTCTGCTGCATGGGGTATTTTTGAGCTCCTGGCTTCATTTAGTGATGTACCTAACAACTATGATGGTCTCTGAGGAGCCCAAAACCACAGGTCAGATCTCAGACTTCTTAAAAAAAAAAAAAACTGAACAATTTTGTCTTTCTTAGAGAACTCCCTGCCATTTCCTCACAGTCTAGGCCCTATTCTTCTTCAAAAACAAAGGCTTAGATGAGCAGAGGGAACCCAGCTCTGTCTTCATACCTGGGGTGTGTCTCCTTTCTCCTTAGCCACCTTCAGAGGTAGTCATCTTGTGTGGGGCCTAGACATTTTTGTCTCTACTCAGAGCCTCGCTCTTTCTAGCTTCCATCCTACTTTATTTGTATTGTAACATAGTTTATGATTTGCTCATTGGAATAACAGAGCTTAGGTAACTCCCAGCTTAGTGACCATTCTGAAAGCCATATAGAGAAGCATCTGGAATAGTTCTTCCTGCCAGTACCCAACCCAAATAGCATTTTTCCAAAGACAAGGCACACATAGATTACAGCCTAGCAGCAGGGTTCCCTTCTCTTTCTTTTGTGTAGAATCAGAGTCACCCCATACCCTATTCTGGCTCTCTAAGCTCACCTCACCCCAAAGCTTGGTTATTGGCACTCATTAGCTCCAGTATGCTTTATTCTGTGACTGTGGGGGCAGATTCAGTGGGTACCCAACTGTCATTAACCTTGGCCCATTTTTCCCTAGCAATGAGAGCCACGGAGCTCAACTCTTGGGCCAAGAATGATGTGGCCAGAACTATCACACTCCCAGGATCCAAGCAAGCTGCTGGGCCCTAAATTCTCAGATAATAAGAGCCTGTGAAATGCACCCATAGTGGTCACCAAGTGGATGGGACAGTGACCACATAGGAAGCAGTGGACTCTGGAGACATAAGTCACGGTTAGTATTCTCACTGCAGGGTGGAAAATGGGCTTTCAATGATCATTTAAATCCTTAAAACCTTCAATGAAGGCAATATAGACCAAGATTGACTAGTGCCATATAAAGCTCCCACCAGTACAATTCCATGTGTGCCTCAGTTCAAAGATGGCAAATGCCAGTGGTAGCAATAAGTCAGGTGACTAACCCTGGGGGTGGGGTATAGTTGGCCAGTCCTGCCCACTAGCCTGGGTTCTTTATCTCCATTCACTTCCTTCCACTCCTGCACCAAGTCTCCCCCAAGTTGTGTTCTAAGCATCCCTCTATCCCCTGATCCTCACTTCCTTTTGAGCTACATACACAAGGTCACAAATCCTGGATGATGTCTTCCTACTTGCTACAGCTGGAGGGTAGCACCTGGGCCTCACCCAACTCTCTATTCCTGAAGTCTCCTTTCTCAGAATGTGCATAGTTCCTCTGGGTCTACTGAGCAGACAGGTTTGGGAATATGCTCTGCTGGATTGTGTTTTGTGACTTGCCCACTTTGTCTTGGAAGGTCCCCTGAAACAGAACCTTTAGAGGCTTGGTTGCCTGATCCAGCTTCCTGTGAGGACAAATGCCAGGGGAGCAGTGCCAATCTTGCTGGGTAAGCTCTACTTTTTCTGGTTACTCTCAATGCTGTGTGTCAGGGACAAGACAAGACTTGATATGGTGGCTGCTTGGATTGTAAGCACTGAAAGATGAGCTTTCCAAGTGAGCTGGAATGTCTGTACAGCCTGTGGGGAGGCCAGGTACACTGGCTCCTCCTGGAGAGTAGCAGTAGCTACTTCTGGCAGTGGCTTCTCTGAGTGGAAGGCAAGAATGGCCAGACAAGTCCCCCATTTCCACATCTTTGGTCATCACAGATGACTTGATACCAGGAGCCTTTCTAGCAGCTCGAGCTGGGGCTTGGGATAACCTCTGTTCCCCCCACCTGTAGTATTTTTTAAAATGATGCAAACAAGACAGATGTCATGGTGTGCACTTGTGACCCCAGCTCTGGAGAGGCTGAAGCTGGAGCATTGCAGGTTTCCAGCCAGCCTGGCCTTTAGACAGTTGCATTTTATGACCTACAGACTCCCAAGGGGAAACAAAAAAGCAGGAGCCATGTGTGGCTCTCCTCTAGAAGATACTAAGCTAAGAAATCACATTTATCATGTGATATTTAAAAAAAAAAATATTTTCTCATTTCATAGAAGTTCCTGTTCTTTGGAAAAACATGAAAAATATGGGGAGGTGACAAAATTTTCATAGCCATGCCACTCAAAGATAGCCACTGCCAACTTTGGCTAACAGTGTTTGGTTTTTGGTTTATTCCTATAGTGTGTGTGTGTGTGTGTGTGTGTGTGTGTGTGTGTGTGTGTGTGTGTGTGTGTGTTTAATTGAGCTCATCATTGCTATTTTTTTCTCATCTGCTTATGTATCCTAAACACTGCCCCATGCCATTCAGTAATTTCTCATCTTTGGTTTTTTTAATGGTCATGTAGGAGTCTAGCCAGTGACTACAATTGACAAAATTGGTCTGTGTGTGTCCATCTGCAGACAGATGCAAAGTTGGGTGGCGGATGTTAGGAGGCTTCTCTACATGCTATTCCTTCACAATTCTGACCGGTATCTTGCTGTTCTTTGTGTAAGCCAGTGGCTCTGTCAGGAGACATGAGCACATGGCCAAATTACCCTCTGCAAACTTTTTGCCCATTATGTTTCCAAAATTAGTTTGAGAAAGTGCCTGCTGCTCTGGGAATTATCAGAGTTTTTAACCTTTGCTGATTTGTCAAAACATGGCATTTCACCATTTCCATCCCCACAGCTTTTATCACAGTGGCACAGAATACTTTTCCGCCCTCTTTGTGGGGTATTTGTATCTAAATTGCCAGCTCAGGCTCCTTGCACTTTTCATTATTCCTTTAGTTTTTGTGTTTTTTTGTCAAACTCATGCATACACATCATTTTAAGAGCCAGATCCTTCTACAAGGTTGTCAAGGAAGCATCAGCCCTCCCACCCTCCCGGCTCCACCCGAATATTATGCGTTACCTGTAACTGCTTTAACTGATTCTCTTGACATTTACATCCATAACGCTAAGTAACATTCTTGTTTTTCTGCTTCTTGATTTTCTTTCTTTGTGTGTGTGATTTTTTTTTAAGCTTAGGCATCATTCTGATTGTTCTATTGTTGAAGACAAGCATTTAACCCTCTTTTACATATGCCCTTGTCTTCACCCCGCACACACACCCCTGTACTGTCCTCCCAATAGATTATTTTGAAATGTTGGTTTGATCAATACACAAGAGTTTACACCCCTCTAAGAGTGTGACTATGTCCACAAAGATGAACAATGTCCCGAGTATTCATCTCCTCCCTTTTTCTGGAGAGGGAGAGAGAGAGAGCGCTTTTCTCATTGGTTGTTTAATTTTGTCTTGGTTTAAGTGCGGCTCAGGATAATACAAACAGGAGTTGTTTAAGACACATGCATACCATGGTGAAGTTTCGTTTTGGAGTCAGCTTTTCTTTCTTCTCGTGGGCTAACTTTACACTGCCACCATCTTCGTTTTCCCGTCTTCTCCTCCTGGGGATAGGTTCTTTTGGTTTTTTTTTTTTCTCCCTAGATGGGTTCTTGGCTTTTATAGATACCATGCTATCTGTTTTGGGGGTCACTCTTCTGTTTTGCTAGAGTTTCAAGAGAAAAGGTTCATGGGAAGTAAACTTTTTAAGACCTTTCACATTTGAATAGGAAAATGTCTACATTGTCATTGGTAACTCAGCAGCTGGGTATAAAATTCTAAGTAATGGACTTTCCCCTCAGATTTTCAGAGATACATAGACTTAGAAATGGGAAAACAATGTCAAAGAAAACAGTTTAGAAACTCTGAGGATAAGAAAATGAGAGAGAGAGAGAGAGAGAGAGAGAGAGAGAGAGAGAGAGAGAGAGAGAGAGAGAGAGAGAGACCCCCAACCAAAAATATCACAGATACAAAAGCCTTGTCTTCTATATGCCTATTTTGAGAAGTCTTAAGCCCTTGTCATTCTTCAATCTTGCAGGAATTTGTAGGATTTTTGTGTTTTCTCTCATTGTTTGAGAATATCATTGCTTCTGTGTTGATTTGGATCTATGCTTACCCATTTTCACTCTTTTGATCCAAAAACTCTTTTGGATTTATAAACCAGTTTCTCTCTCTTTTTCCCCCCTCCCAAGTACCTCATTTATGTATTGGACCTCTCTGGCTGGTTCTATAATATTGCTAAGTCTCCCCCCACATTTGCCCTCTTAATTTTCTGTCATATGCTGCCAGCCTTTCCTCTCATCCACAGCTCCCCCCACCCACCCCGCACCTTTTCTCTCATTTTCCATTTAATTTTGTTAATGGAGCCTTTTATTCAAAATTGTGGGGCTGGAGAGATAGATCAGCAGTTATGAGCTTGAACTTCTCTTACCAAGGACCAGGGTTTAGTTCCCAGCACCCATGCTAGGCAGCTTACAACCATGTCTACCTCCAGCTTCAGGGGATCTGATACCCTTTTCTGGCCTTGGTTATACCTGCACATGGGAGCACACACACACACACAGCTCTCCCTCTCCTTCCCCACATAGATATTAAAATAAGTATTAAGATAAAAATTGTTAGGTTATCGAAAAATATATCATTCATTTTTTTTCTGATAGTTTCTTCATTTGTATTTTATTTTTGGATAGAAAGGTATTTTCCAAATAAAACTCATACAAATAGTCAATCCAGTTTTTTTTCTAGAATTTCTGTAGCTTCATGTTTTATATTTTAATATTTAACACATTAAATCATGATGAAAAATATACAATTTCTACATTTGCTGCTTTGCATGTCATTTTTAAACACGTGCGTGGGTGTTTTGGCTGCATGTGTCTGTGCACTGTGTGTGTGCAGTGCTATGGTAACCAGAGAGGGGATTGGTTTGCCTGGAACGAGAGCTAGAGGTGGTTGTGAACCACCATGTGGTAACCAAACCTGGATCTTCTGGCTCTTAACTACTGAGCCATGTCTCTAGCCCCCCATATGTACCTCTACAGTTTTGATTCTTGCGTTGACTTTCCCTGCTTCCCTAGGCCTATTAAAATTTTAGGTCAGCTGGACTTGATTTTCATGTATTAATGTTACATTGAATCATTGTTCACTGGCAATAATCTTTCTTCATTTTCTCTTTTAAAATTTTTTCCTCTTAGTCTCATTTGTTTATTCTTTCAGGTGGATTTTAGTGATACTTTGAAGTTTAAAACACAGTAGATTTTCTGTGGAATTTTATAAAGTTGTCTGTTAAAGCTGAACATTGGGGTGCATGCCTGTAATCTCAGTACTTGGGAGACTGAGCCAAATGGATCATGAACTCAGGGCCAGACTGGTTACAGAGGGAAACCCTATCTCAAACAAAACAAAATGAACAAACAACAACAAAGCAGTAAACAAAACTCTGCATGCTATTTTGCAGTTTTTAATTTATATATGTATTACTTGTCAAATTTGGCATATTCACAATTTGTCAGCAAGATTATTTCACAGAATTAAGTGTTGCCTCTGTTGTGAGTCTGGCCCCTTTCCTTCGTATTTTTGAACTCCTTGTCAGTGGTATGTTGGGACTTCTATGTATTTCTAGTTTCTATCTGTCTTGTTGAGTTATTTTGTTTGTTCTACGAACTTTTCATTGAGCAATTTTAAATCTCCAGGTAGAGTTGCTCGTTTCTCATATGCTTTATAGTTTATCTCTTCCATATTGTCTTGTTGATGACTTTTTCTTATCTTATTGCATTGTCTACAAATTCTAAGACAAATTGTTAGTAACAGAAATCTGCCTTCTGTTTCATTGTTGGGTACAGTTACAAAGTATTTTTCAGACTAGACTTTTCTTTCTTTCTTTTTTTTCTTATGCAGTATTCCAAGTTCATATATGATTCAGAAATGGATTTAGAATTTTATGAAATGCTTTTTTTAATGTCTGAGAGATATTTGTGTTGTTTCTCTCTGTCAGTACAATGAATGATAATAATGTTTTCTAACTTTTAAGTGTACTTGATTGTAGTATGTTGTCCTTCTAATAAGATTTGCTCTGCAAGTGTCTAATTCAGGATTTTTCCAATGTGTTTGTTGTCTGCTTCCAGTGTCAAAGTTATGTTGGCTTTGTAAAATGAACCAGGTGTCACTTCATCTTTTTCTATATTCTGTACCATATACATAGCATTTGAATGAAAAGTTCCATGAAAACTTGAATTTGCTGACATTAATCTCCTGGGAAATCTCTCACAGTGCTTTCTGTTTCTTGTGTATTTACTGGAATCTTTTCACTTTCTGTATCTTTAAAAATCCTGCCTCTTCTGATATATCACAGTAGTTAAGCCTTTAGATATATTGAGCTTAATTCTTTCTCATGGAGTTCTTGGGAACACTGTCTCCTTCCTATGCTTAGTTTCCTCCTTTGTCAAGTGGTTAAAATGACAGCCTAAAAAGGGCCACTGAGAAGATAAAGAGATAAAGTATGTCATCATGTATCTGACATAGTGAGCCTCAATTCCCTTTAGGTGTTGCTAATCCCAGGACATAATTCATTCTGAGATTTAAAATTTTTTATTTCCTTAGAGTTACAAGTAATGTTATATTATAATGAATTTTTATATTCCTATGGTTATATGACCTTCCCTTTATTTCATATGTGCATACTTTATCTCTTTAATATATGATCTGAAGAAATGTCTGTACTTTTTTCTTCAAAAAGTCAGTTCTTGGACTGATTTTCTCAAGTCAACATTTTGTGTGACCGTGTTCACTGATGCCTGCCTTTATCTTTACCTGTCCCTGCCTTCCACTTCCCTTAAGCTTATTCAGTCTGTCTATGTATCCCCAACTGCTGCTCTTCTTTGATGATTGAAATACTTCGTGGTATGACTTTGCCTTTCATTGCAACTTTGACTTCGTGTCCTATGCTTCAATATGTAGTCTTCTCAGGGATTCCGAACATTTGTAATTAGGATTTTTTTTTGTTCTTCGATGGTTATCTGAATGAAATGTGAAAATTAGACTTCCCTTTAAAACTCACGTCTGCTTTATTTGGGTTGTATATTGATCTCGATGCTTTCTGCTCAAATGGGATTATATTTTATTGTGGCTAAAGAATGTGCACACAAATTCTATTCTGGGGAAACTTGTTGATGCCTTTTCAAGCATAATATAACCAACTCTGTAAATGTTTCATGGGTCTTTAAAGCAAGATGTACTACTTGTTTATAGGACATAGGTTTTGATATAAAGAAATTTAATCTTGTTAGTTTTCATTTGTTTTTGTTTTTTTTTTTTTTTTTTTTTGGCTTTTCTTAGACAAGGTTTGAATTTTGTAAATAACCAGAGTTTTAATCTTATTCTGGGAGTTTGCAATGTTTTTCTGTTATATTGCTTAGCACTTGGGGCAGGAAAACCCAGTGTTGATGAATTGAACATCATTTATTTCTCAGTCTCTGTTAAATATGATGTTGGCTCTGGATTTGAGGTCTGTCTATCATTGGGTCTTTTCAGTTTTTTGCTTTTTCCTAGTTGATATTCTTAGAACTGAGAAACTTTGAAAACTGTTCCTATAATTTTGCTCTCCATATTTTGATGTCTTATGTTTCCTTGTGTGATGTTCACAGATGCCATGCCCCCATCATGGATTGCCTCCTCCATCTTTAACAGGTTTCACCAACCTGACATGAAATTACAGAATTACAGTTTTCTTTTGATGTTTCATGTCCAAGTTAGGTGACCTTTTTCATGTAATTGCTTCTGGAAGCAACTAATGAAGGCGACATGTTATTTGAACTGGAGACTTGCTCTTTGGGGACCCGCCAGAGTAGTCTCACATGTCCCATAATGCTTCTGCTCTTCAAACACGCAATTGACTGTCTCAAATTGAAGTCAAAGTTTGGCTGCTTTGAACCTGCCTAGTGACTTTCATATTCATCTACTTTACGCATTTACAAGATTAGGGTTCTCATCAGTTATCAGCCATTTTATTTTTCTATTTTCATTTATTTAAAACAAAAGCAAAATATGATTAAGTAACATTTTTACAAGGGCTGCTAAAAAACTTTCTCTGGACCAAGTGTTACCCAGTGGCCCAATAACTGAAAGAGAACGAGTTCAAGCTACCCTGTTTTGGTTGGAGGTGGAATGTCCCTGAGGGCTGGGTACTGGGCACATTTCTCACAGTGTAACAGGGTGCGGGTGGGGGTCAACCCCTCAACACTCTTGGAAAACGTCTGCAATTAACTATTTCATCAACTGCACAAGTAAACTGAACCCATTGCTGTGTATGGCAAGCCAGGGTGGCGTTGAGAGAGACTGGCTTCTGGCTGCCAGCTGCTGACTAAATTGCCTGATGTTTGAGATGCATGCTGTGTGGGCTGCCTCCGAGCTGAATGCGGGAAAATTGAGGCCTTCCTATTTTTCTGGGCCATCTCTTGGCTTTGCAGTTTTTCAAGTTTATTTGTAATCTGTCTTAAATTGACAACATATAGTTTGGATTTGAGGCCTTTGACCCAAATTGAAAATCCTTTCTCTTTGAGGGTCCATAAACCTATTTACATTTTCCCTTGATTGTCATGTTTGAGCTTTAGAAAAATTATGCCTTATTTCTTTTGTCCTCTTTCCCCCTGCTATCTTTTGTTACACATTTTTATTTTCTTTCGCTCTGCTGGTTTGGAAAGTGCTCAGCCAGCTTCCAGCATCTATGTGGGCTTATAGTTCAGCATCTTCAAAACCATACTTGCCCTAGTTACATGTAGTCATTCTGTTTCCTTTGTGGAATGATTGGTAGCCAGGTGCCACCCCTTTCACATCTCCCCAGTGACAGGATCCTATGGGGTCTCTCCCTGTTTCCCCACTTACCTTTCTTCAGCACCATGTCCTGGTTTTTTT